TGTCTGTGAAGCTATAATTACAATTACCTTTCAATGTAAGCAAACTATATTGAAGCATAAGATATGAATAAATTTCATCTGATTATCTCACCAAGTTTAAATGTAGAATCCAAGATCTAATAAACTTGCTTTTAAATGGGAAAAGCCTGACTGTGTTTCTCCTGCCACTATCATTCTAATTGTCACAAATCAATCTCAAAAAAACTTCAGCAGTAAGAACTATGAGAAGATTTAAATAGCTCACCTCCTTATATCTGACAGCTTAGAAATTAAACACAAAGGCTACCAACAGCAGGTTTTCCCATTGAAAGTGTTTCATAACAACAGACATTTATCGCATCATTATTTCATACATGTATTTGAAAGCATGGGTAGATTTTAATCATTATGATATCAATCATTTCCCCACTTTAAGACACATAGTCATATAGGTGAGAAAGATGGCAAATAAGTACAACTGTATTATACTCCATTCAAAGTGCTCTTCTGTAGTATAAAATTCCAAACTCACTGAAATAAAATTGACTGCATAATTCAGGTTTTAAAAGTAGAAATGTGTAAGGATGAAGCAGCAATGCCATTTGGAAATTTTCAAACAGGAAATGCCAAAAAACTTAAGGATGGAATTTAATTAAAATAGAGCTGCTAAAATATGGCGTATCTTTTTAATGAGACTTTAATGGCTGACACACAGATGTAACAGGAGGCTTTGTAAAAAGCCAGGGCACATTTGGGAGAATCAAACTATATCAAGTAGCTTAATGACACCCGTTCACGTGACTTCACTTTGGAAAGATAACCCTGGAGCACTTCAGTTTTATCCTCACACACGTGAGTTAGAACAGAATTTAATTATTTTCAAGCACTTTAAGGAGCAAATTAAACTTTAAAGTTCACATCAAAAGAAACTCTTTAAAATAAAATAGAGCAGAAGCATCTTACCTAAATTTATATGCCTAGAATCGTACGAAACGTTTGAAATGTGCCTCATGCAGATACAAATCACTTATTCAAATTGCGAGGGTGTAACTCAATTAATTTAAGGGAAAATATTCAAACAAGTTATAGACATGGTTCGTGAATTGTAAAATGATAATGTGAAAACATTTGGCTGGAATTCAGCTTTATGTACTTGTGATGTTGATAGGAATTTATCGTTCATGTTAACTTGTGAAATTCCTTGGGTGTAACTCAATGAATTCAACACAAAATAACCGTTACATTACGTACACGGATTCATGTACTGTACACAGATTATGTGAAAAAAAAGCTCTTGAATTTGAAACCGTAAATAACAACTATTAGTAACGCCTACCAGCATGCTTGTGAGCATATTGCGAGGATTCGCTCCGTTTTGAGACACGATCACAACTCGGACGCATCTTGCAAAATACAATGAAAATCATGCAGTTCCAAAGACTAGTTATTCAGATCCCAACGTTAGAAAAAAACGGGCAGTTAAAGGCCTTATTCCAAAATGGCGGGCGCGCGGTTGAGACCTGAACCGAGTTCACGAAAACGAGGCTTAAGAGGCAGAAGCTGTAAGTTTTGCTCGAAAGATTGTGGATTGTGGAACTGCCGATCGTTTCATCCCGGGATAGGTTGATCTTACGTAGCTTGACTATATCTTGTCGAATGTTCTGTGTTAGAAATTTCGGTGAGTTTTGCAGATAATTTGAGTGAAGAAGACGGTGCGTCTCTAGAAGGAAGAAACCCATTAGAGCTCAACAACGAAGGCCTGAAGTTTTGGCTAAAACGGAAGGGAGACAAATGAAAAGGGCTGAAAACAACCGGGCTTAATAAACCTACAACTTCTCTAAAGGTTGAATATCTTAAGGGGCCACGCTTAACCAGGATGCATTGCGTGAGTAGTGGTCTTTCTTGGTATTTTCTGTATTACAGAAAAGGGAAGCCTACCGTGTGTGTAATATTATTTGACTACATCTTTACAATCTTCATCGGTAAGAATCTAAACGGCAGGGGTCATGGGTCGCGGGTAAATTGTCGCGGATCGTAGTAGGTAAAATGTCGCGGGTTCCGAAAATTCTCGCTGTCCCGGTCCAGGAAGATGTATTTTCCTAAATGCAACGCTTCTCCCCACAAACGGCTGCTTTGATGCGAACCACATTCCTTGTGCAAATACATTTGGTCACTAGCGCTATCCCAACTAACTATCTAAATTTTTCGCTCTTGGAAGCTCCCTGGCTCTGAAATCCTCCTCGATTTCTCGATGAACATAAGAAAATTGTTTTCAAAATCGTTTGTTAAGGTTTGTATGCTTTTTACGAACCTGCCGTCAGTGGGCTTCTAAAAAAGAATAGTTTTTAAGTTCAGTTCATAACTGCTCTAAGTTCATTTTTGGTATTCCGGTTTGACGTTCGTAGCCGGAAAAAAAAGAACACTGGCACACTTTTTCCAAAAATGTAGGCTGCATCATAGCGGGGCTCCAACGCGCGCGAAGCGCGCGTGGGGCAGAGCCCCATATCCATGGAATATGGTCAGACTCTTTTCTTTTGGTTGTCACGTGACTGACCGACCGTACGTACGTGCCCTTTGTCATGTATGCTATCACGAAAGTACTAGAAGCATCATGGGATGCAATAAACCACGAGGTTTGGAATTGAATATGGCTGTTGTGTGATACAGTCGGATTTTTCGTTCATTTGCGTTCGTTCATTTGCGTTCGTTCATTTGCGTTCGTTCATTTGCTTGGAAAAGAATGGACATCAAGGTCTTAAAGGTGACAGAATTAGCTCTGGAGTCAACGACACTACGATTCTCTAAGGCGATGCGAATTATGGACGTAAAGTGAAAACCGAACTTTCGGACCTCAAGCAGGGCCTAGCGACAATTTGACGATTCGATGACCCGGTAAATATTATTTTCGAGTAACAATGTGTTCAAAAAGTATTGTTTAATAGAACATTTTGCGTCAAATCGAAGTTTTTCCAGAATTTTTAACATATTGAAAATTAAACGAGACTTACCTGGAAGTTGAAGTTTGATTGGAATTCTATGAGTCATTACACTGCATCCAAGGATAGCATGAGATTGCTTGCGCATGCGTACATTAGTTTTTAAAGCTCGCGTGTAGATGTTCTCTACTGAAGAGGACTGTAGTATTGCCCATAGTGCGTAATATATGTATTACTAAGGAGCGAGGGAGGCAAGAGTGGGCGGGCATGTTATCCCTGGATGCAGTGTAATGACTCATAGAATTCCAATCAAACTTCAACTTCCAGGTAATTCTCGTTTAATTTTCCATTCTATTTCGTCATCACTCTATCCGGGATCCCATGAGATTTTAAAGCCAACATACACACGAGAGCAAATAAAGCAGAAACATTCATTGGGTAATGAAACAACCCAACCCAACTATATATTTAACAGTCAAAGTGACTGAAATGTCAACAGTTGTTGTTCAACACAACAAAATAATTATAACAGTCAGAGACTGATATGTGAACAAGTCACTCAGTCAGCTTTCAGTACAGAGTCGGCAAATGAGGAATCCTTTCTAACTGGTTTGTTGGAAAATCTATCAAATGTCCGGTGACTAGACCAACCAGCTTCTTTTAGTTTGTCCTGTATAGGAACACAAGCTTGAGTTGCCTTGGATATTGCAGCCGATCTAGTGCTGTGGGGCTTGAATTTGGTAATATCAAGTCCAGCTTTCAGCATAACTGTATGAATCCATCTTGCTATTGTGTCCTTGGAAACTCCTCTGTGAGGTTGGACATAACTAACAAAGAGCTTATTTTCCTCCCGTCGCAAAGATCTTGTTTTCTTGAGATATTCATTCAAGTGGTTAATTACACACAATCCTGGGTCTGTTGGGTATGCTTTAAGAATAATGGTGGGGGTTTTATACCCAGGTCGGCTTTGTTTGATATGTGTAGGAATAACAAATTCAACCGTATCGTTACTAGGTTTCATAAACTGTAAATCAAGTAAATGAATGCTCTGAGCTCTCTGTGCTGACACAAGTGCTATCAACATAGCAAGCTTATGAGTGAGATTTCTAGGATCCAGCTGGCTTGGTGAGGCTGTTTTGTTCAGACTACTAAATAACTTCAACTTTCGACAACGGTTTAAATCACTCCTTTTAATCCAACGAAAAGACTGCTAACTTCAAGCGAAAAGCACATGTTCCTATATCCCATAATACTAACACAACAAAAATGTTCTTAGTGGGGTGGTCTCATCACAAGTCCAGTCTCACTGGGGGGTGTGATATCCTCCCACTGTGGGTCCGGGCCCGAACATCCTCCCCACCTCTCCAATACTTTTGGAGACTTGACACTGGTTTCCGTGTAACTTGTTTCTTCTTCGCCCTTTTCTTGACCTTTCGAGCTTTTCGAGACTCCCCACCGTAAGCACCGCTGTCACCAGATTCACCACTTCCAAATTGAGTACTGCTTGCTTCCAGACGATGTAGCCTCTGTACGGGTCTCCTTAGAAGCCCTTTCTATGTCTTCAAAACAACAGTACGAATCAAGCCGTCTTTTCCAGGAAGCAATCTTTCAACTCTTCCCATCGGCCACTTTCCTCTCGACACCTTGTCTTCAGAAATCAGCACTACATCTCCAATCTTGAGGGCTGGTTGTTCATTCACCCACTTCTTTCTGACGGATAACTGATGCAAGTACTCTCCCCACCACCGTTGCCAGAAATGGTTAATAAGCTTCTGCTGGTACAGATACCGCTGCCTCGTTGTGCTTTTTGTTTGCTGACATTTCGACTACGAAGTCCGGTAAGTTAAACAGGGATCTTCCAATAGCAAGATGAGCTGGTGTTATAGGCGTTAGATCTCTTATGTCGTCACTTACTGTGGTGAGTGGTCTCGAGTTAATAACGGCTTCAATCCTGGTAAGGATGGTGGCCAACTCTTGATAGGACAACAGCGCTTTGCCCAAGATCTTGCGAAGGGGTTCCTTCACTGAACGCACCAGCCTTTCCCACCAGCTGCCGTGCCAAGGGGAGCGCTCGACTATGAACTTTCACTTGATTCCCTTGGAGGTCAATTTGGCCTGGAGCTCTTCCTGATCTATCCTGTCCCACAATCCTTTATTAACAGATGACTCTTTTGTGAACAACTGTTGGATCTCATGGTCAGCGCATTTGAACGTCTTCGCATTGTCAGACCAGATGGTTCTACAGAGCCCTCGTCTACCGATCATACGGAGAAATGCCGGAAAGAACTCTTTAGTGGACAAGTCACCCGTAAGCTCTAGATGGGTCATGCAAAAGGAGGCACAAGTGAAGATGCATATGTAAGCCTTTTCTGGGGAGGCACTCCCTCGTACGAACAACGGCCCTGCAAAGTCTACACCAACGTGACTGAAGGCTGGAGACAATGACACCCTCTCTGATGGCAATGGCACCATTTTCTGTGAACATGGACCAACTCGTTGACGTCGACAAACAAGGCACTTTTTCAGGTTTCTTTTAACTTCACGACGTCCCTTGGTGAGCCAGATCTCTTGTAGAACCGAAAGAGTGCCCTCAGGTCCAGCATGAAGTAACTCCTTGTGCACACTTTGTATGATTCTCTCAATTACCGCATGCCCGTGTGGTAAGATTATTGGATGTCTGGTACCCTCTGGCAAGTCTGAGTGCTGTAATCTACCTCCTACCCGCAGCAAGCGATCTCTCTTGTCGTAATAAGGGTCCAATTTTAATATGGCACTGGTGTTTGGTAAAGAAAGGTCCTCCTCCAGCCTTTCATACTCTGCTTGGTACACCTCTTTTTGTATCTCCCGGTACCACCTCAACTTGGCATCTTGCAGCTCCTCGGCTGACAGCTCTTTGGAACCTGCACTTATTCCTGACTTAAAAGCTCGAACACCTCGAAGAACAAATGCTGTTACCCGGATTAGCGTCAGCCATTGCTCATATCGAGATGGATCAATCACTGGTTCCATAGTAATCAACGCGCACGTTCTTGTCACCCTTTGTTTTCTTTCTTTCTCTACAGACTCGGTCAATTCGTTTGGCGACTCTCGTTGTTCAGGCAGGCATTGAGAAGATAACCAGCACGGTCCACTCCACCACAACTTGCTATCAGCTAAGACCTTTACGGGCACTCCACGTGTAAGTAAGTCAGCAGGATTGTCCTCCCCTGAACAGTGTTTCCAATGGTGTGGGTCCCATGTGGACTGAATCTCAGCAACGCGGTTTGCTACAAATGTCTTCCACTGGCTACTTGAGCCTCTGATCCACTGAAGAGTTACCATGCTGTCAGTCCAGCAGACTACCTGCTCTACTTTGAGTGTTAACGTTAGGGATTCTACAACAAACTTCAGCAATCTTGCGTTAACAACAGCTGCAAGTAACTCTAATCTCGGTAACGATACAGCCTTTGCGGGAGCCACCCTTGATTTGGACATGACAAGATGTGTTGACGCATGGCCGGTTTCATCCAAGCACTTGATATAGACTGCCGCACCGTATGCCTTAGGTGAAGCATCACCGAAGCCATGGAGCTCTATTCTAGAACTTGATCCAATGTTTTCCATGAAATAGCGGGGAATGGTGATACAACTTAACTGTGAAAGTTCCGATTTCCACGACCTCCACTGCTTAGCAATATCCTCATCTGACTGGTCCTCCCACTGTAAACCCTTCTGCCATAGTTCTTGGAACAAAATTTTCGCTCTGATTGTAAATGGTGTGATTAGTCCCATAGGGTCAAAAACCCTCGACGCAATGCTCAACAGACTTCTCTTCGTTTCAGGGTCACGATGATAGTCAATCCACCTTTGAGCTTCTTCAGCTACTTCATCATCAGAAATAAGAGCCATAATTTCCTCTCTTACCTCACTGCAACTCTCCATGTAACCATTCAACTTTTGAACACGATTTTCTATTCTTATGACGTTGTTGCTGGGACTTTTGGTTGTCTCAAGTATTACTTGTGTCACAGAATTAATGTCCGTCTTGAGGATAATTTCTTTCCTTCTTAACAACTGAAAATTACTTAACTGATGATTAGGAGACTGTGACGACAAAAGTTCACCAGTTGATGCTGCAGGCATGTTGTCAGCTGCCAAGGCCTGTTTAGGGCCTATATGAGTCGATCCTTTACTTTTGTTTTGCAAAGATGGAGGGTTAGATTCTTCTTGTTTTATAGCAACGATAAGTCGAGCCATGAGAGCTGATTTCTTTCCTTTTGCCGGTAATCCTCTCCTTTGTAACTCGGCTTTGACTTGGGAAAGAGACATTTCACTCACAATTTCCTCCGCTGACGATGCACAGTTGTCTGCCATATTCAATCCTGTAATCGTTTATCTCGATGTTTACTTTTGTGCTTAGTGCTTTGCTTCCCCAAAGGTTTCTCAGATCCGGCTCCGAAGGACCATAATGTTTTGTTCAGACTAGTAAATAACTTCAACTTTCGATAACGGTTTAAATCACTCCTTTTAATCCAACGAAAAGACTGCTAACTTCAAGCGAAAAGCTCATGTTCCTATATCCCATAATACTAATACAACAAAAATGTCCTTAGTAGGGTGGTCTCATCACAAATCCAGTCTCACTGGGGGGCGTGATATCGTCCCACTGCGGGTCCGGGCCCGAACAGAGGCAGAGAAGACAGATACGATAAGACTACTTGAACATCCCAAGTGGATTCATAACGAGGGCAAGGAGGTCGGTTTCTAAATATTCCTTTCATAAACTGTGAAATCAGAGGCTGGTTACCAAGGGTTAGGCCATTCTTCGGTTCAGTTATAGCAGAGACTGCTGATTTAGCTGTATTGATTACATCATATTTAAGGCCTTTGTGATATAAACTTGTAAGAAAATCTAAGACCTTATTTAGAGGTGGACCATAGGGATTAACCTTCCATTCACAACACAATTTGAGCCAGATCTGGAGATAAGGTTGGTACTGCTTGGGGGAAGTATCTGCCCAGGAACACATGATGATTTCTGCAGCTTTGCTTGATACAATCTTCTGCAGGAAACAAGTCCTAATAATTTGCATGCTATTAGCCGCATTTTCCTTCGAAGAGGGTGTTTTTCCCCTGTCTGGGGTAGAAGTACTAAATTGTCTGATTGAGGAAGAACCAATGGGCAGGCAACATCAGCAGGTCGAGGAAAGTTGAGAACCATGCCTGTGTGTTCCAAAAGGGTTCTATCAGAACTCCTGTTGCCTTGCCCTCTTCTATCTTGTTCAGGCATCTAGGAATGAGACTGAAAGGCGGAAATGCATAGCAAAATTTGGTTTCGAACCGCGTCAGGTCTCCAAGCAACATACTCTTTCACTTTGTATAAAGGCTGATAGTTTCTAAAGAAACTGTTTGGGGCTGCGTCGGTGGGGGTAACGAAATAATTTGGATATATCCACAAAGTTGAAATGGTACAAAGTTGATATAATGCCACCGTAACGATTACAAAAGCTGACGTTTCGAGCGTTAGCCCTTCGTCGGACCGAAAAGAGGAATTTTGGGTTGTGTGTGCTTTTAAAGGCAGAAAATGGAGCTACGTTATTGGTGGGAACATGGCAACGAGAAAAACACGAATAAATTAGTGGAATGAAAAGCGTTCGTTGATACCTGTGGGATTTAGACTGCCGGTTTGAAAGATGAGCATTTGTTCAAGAGTTTTAGGGCTTTCCGTGCTACCTAAGTGTAAGGAAAGACCGCCTATTGCCATATGTTGCTTAGAATGATTAGGTCACATCGAAACGAGTCTAGCGACTCGTTTCGATCTGTCCCTGGTTGTTTCTAGTGAGTAAAAAAATATAGGGGAAGTGGATATATGCATGTAAAACAGGCTGCATTATTAAAACTAAACACGCAGCATTATTTTTAATAATGCAGCTTGTTTCAAGTTTAATAATGTTGCGTGTTTCAATGATGCTGCGTGTCGATTTAGTACGTGTAAGATTACCCCTGGTTATTTCCCTGCTACCAAAAAAGGCCGCACCCCATTTTTCTCACACAGTTAGTTTGTATTAATTTTTCTCTCGACATTCGGTGATATAATGCAGACAGAAAACAATGGGTTTGGAGGACGATCAGTAATTATGATAAGATACTGCAGCTTGGTTATCTCACTAAATGCAAATATGGGTAGGATGAGTATCTCTACACAAAGATTACAACCCTAAAAAATTGCCTTCATTTCTAAGTAATTTATATGAAAGATTTGTTTTTCTGAGCTCCATCGGCCCCTTGTTTCTTTCCCATTAGGCACTGCACCCTATGCTAGAAGGGAAGCATCTGTTATAAGAGTTATAAGAGTTTCTAAAGCACAAGAGGTCTTTGTGCATGGTTCACATTACTTATCCACCGTAAAAGTTCTGATTTTGACTCCTCAGATAAGGTCATTTCTGCATCAAAATCCCTGTGGTTTTTTCTCAGGGCATTAGTTTTATTTACCTCTAGCTTTCTGTACTAAAGCTCCCCATATTGTACTGCTGGTAGGCTGGAAACTAGAAGCCCTAGAACTTGAGCCACACCCCTTATTGTGATGTGCTTTCTGTTTAGGATATTTTTGCAAGCTTCGTGCACTTTCGCAGCTCTAACCGCTGAGAGTCTTACGGACCTGGAAAGGCTATTGATTTTAAAGCGAAGGAGTTTTGTTTCATGTGTAGCTGTCAAAATTGATTTCTTAGGATGTACCCTGAATCCAAGTTTTGTAAACAAGTCAACTGTGTCATTAATATTTGCTGCACATTCACTGTAAGACTGGGCAATTAACGATGAGTCATCAATACGCCCCATACATGTATGACCCAACATTCTAAGATGGGCATAGATAGGTGTAAGTATTTTCGTATAGATTCTCGAGGCACAGGATAAGCCATTGGGCAGGCAAGTGAACTGATAATATGAACCCTACCTTGTAAACATTAAATATTTTGTATCCTCTGTTGCTATGGGGATAGAATAGTAGGCATTTTTCAAGTCGACAGATTCCATTAAGCATCCTGGTTGAATGAGCTTAATTGCGGTTTGAAAAGTGTCCATTTTAAAATGATGGTAGGACACAAAAGTACTTAAACCCTTCAGGTTTAGAATCAATCTGTGAGTGCCACCCTTTTTTGGACGAACAAACACATTTGAGAGGAAACTGTTTGGGGTATAGTTTGTTGCTTCTATAACCCCTTTTTTCCAGAAGTTTGCAAATTTCACTGCTAATAACCTCTTTATCTTTTTGGGAGAACTTCGGATATGTAGGAAGCAGAGTTTGTAAAGGAGGTTCGTCCTCAAACTCAATATTGTAGTGCTGAATGGCATTGAGAATCACAGGGTCTTGTGTAATCAACTTCCATTGAGGTAAACAATTTTTTACCTGACCTCCAAAGAAACCCAGAGTCTGGTCATTTGAAGCACTAAATGAAGCAATTGAGTTCAAACCTACCAGACTTGTTAGTTGTTCTTTAGGGTTTTCCTCTGCGACATTTTGGCTTAAGAGGTCGCAGGGCTGTACCCTAAAAGGGCTTCCTGTTGTTATTGTTGTTGTTGAAGCCTCTATTGGTATTGCAACGTGGGCGGTCATATGGCCTTTCGTTGTGACGTCTCGGTTCTGGCGCTTTCCTTTGTAGCTGCTTCCCTGCTTTACTTGGGTGTCAACTGGATTTTAGCGTTTTCTCACAGATTTTAACACAATCTACTCAAAAACATTGCTTTCGACTTCTTTGCAGATACTTTTTGCAAAACCATGTTTTGAGCCCTAGTTAAACGAGACGACCCAATTGACTCTCTGGCCAAATTTCGCAGGAAACATGGCGTCTCAAGCATATTTTAGTGTTTTCTTACAGATTTCAACACAATATATTAAAAAAAATAGTTTAGGCATGTTTGGAGATACTTTTTGCAAAACCGTCTTTCCAGCACGAGTTGCGCAGGACTTGACGCATTTCACTCTCTGGCCAAATTTCGCAGGAAACATCGTCTTTCAACCAAATTTAAGGGTTTCCTTATAGAATTCAATACAATCTGGTCAAAAAAATTGGTTTTGGCTTGTTTGCAGACACTTTTTGGAAAAGCGTGTTTTTAGCGCGAGTTAAGCAAGTCTTGGCCTATTTCACTCTCTGGCCAAATTTCGCTGGAAACATCGGGTCTCAACCAAATTCTAGCGTTTTCTTACAGATTTCAACACAATCTAGTGACAAAAAGCGGTTTTGGCTTGTTTGCAGATACTTTTTGCAAAACCGTGTTTGCAGCGCGAATTGAGCAAGACTCGTCCCATTTCACTCTCTGGCCAAATGTCGCAGGAAACATCATGTTTGAGTCCAACTTTAGTGTTTTCTTATAGATTTCGATACAGTCTGGTAAAAAAAAATGCATTTAGCTTGTTTCCAGATAGTTTTTCGAAAACCGTGTTTTCAGCCCGAGTTCAGTAAGACTTGTCACATTTCACTCTCTTGCCAAATTTTGCTACAAACCTCAAGCTTGAACTGGATTTTAGCTTTTTCTCACAGATTTCAACACAGTCTAATCGAAAAAATTGGTTTTGTCTTGTGTACAGATACTTTTCGCAAAATGAGGTTTTCAGGACGAGTTGAGAAGGACTTGGTTCATTTCACTCCCTGGCGAAATTTCACAGGAAACATTGGGTCTCAACCAAGTTTTCGCCTTTTCTTTCCGATTTCAGCACAATCCAGTAAAGAAATAAGGTGGTTTTGGCTTGCCTGCAGATAGTTTTGGTGAAACCGTGGTTTCAACGTTAGTTGAGCAAGACTTGACCCATTTCACTCGCTGGCCAAATTTTGCATGAAACATCGGGCATGACACCAATTTTATAGTTTTCTTGACTGACTTGCTGACCGACTAGAGACTGAGTGCCTTATTGACTGGTGACTGACTGGCTGACTGGCTGGTTGACTGACCGACTGACAGACTGAATGGTTGACTGACTCAGGGGTACTTGACTGGCTATCTGACTAGCTAACTGACTTGCTGACCGACCGGTGACTGAGTGGCTAATTGACTGGTGACTGACTGGCTGATTGACTAACCGGATGACGGAAGAGTCGACTAACTCAGTGCTACTTGCCTGGCTATGTGACTGGATAACTGACTTGCTCACCGACTGGTGACTGAGTGACTTTTTGGCTGGTGACTGACTGGCTCAGTGCCGGGTTCGCTGACTGGCTGAGTGAACGGTTGAGTGACTCAGTGGTACATGACTGGTTCTCTGACTGGTTAGCTGACTTGCTGATCGACTGGTTACTGAGTGGCTCATTCACGAGTGACTGACTGGCTGACTGGCCGGTTGACTAACTGGCTGACTGAATGGTTGACTGATTCAGTTA